AAATCAAGTACTTCCGACAGGCATTAGGTATCGCATGTGCTAAAAAACTAAAACAAGAAGGTAAGAAAGAAGCTGCACAACTTGTTTTAGGAGCCCGCAAAAATGCCAAAGACGTGCAAGAGAAACTAGACCGTGGGAACAAATTTAAAGACGTTCAAAATTACTCGCCCGATAAAGCTTTGACTTTAAAAATAAGTCGATACCTACAACGCAAAGACACGTACTTCTACGACCCGAGAGAAGACTGACGTAGTTCCGAACACCGATTGCAAACACTCGTAGTTCTAAGGCCTTCAGCAAGACTCACGTACTTCTTGGTTAAAGAGATAGGAACTACGTGAGTCTTGCCGAAGGCCTCAGAACTATGTGTTTCAAATCGGTGCTTGGAACTACGTCAGTCTTTCCTCGGGTCGTAGTAGTACGTGTCTTTGTGTTGTAGGTATCGAAGTCTCGGTCTTAGTCAAGAAAAGTACACGTCTATGCGCATGGGAATGGTATCTAAAGGCCTGCCTGACATGTACCCTACCCGAGCTAAAATTGATGAAGCAGAGGCGAGGTGTTTGTCACACCCATCAGTTCTGAGTGTCTCTGAATCTTGTGCCGAAGTTACTCTGCAAGGATTGCTAGACCACACGGCTGCACGTTTAGTGTACATGCTTGAGGATGAAGCAGGGTCACACAGGAATCCAGCTTACAACTTGAGTGTTTTGTGACATAGATATGCATGCTAATGCAAATGACACACACAGTGCTTTGGTAATTTTTACTTTTTTTCAATTGGGTAGGGGAAGAGCCGATAAGGCTAAAACTAACTTCAAAATGGGGTTTTGATGCGAGCAGCAGGCATGTTACATTTAAACAAAAGTCAACAGAGAGGACATCCGAAGGCAGTGTTGTTTTAACGAGCTTTGTTCCTCTAGAGTTATCATTGGTACGTGTAAAATTAGCATTACTATTCTAAAGGAAAAAATTCTGCCTTTTTCTGGTTGTGATTTACAGACACAGGTCGAGAAGACACAGATCTTATGGATGAATATTGCACCCTCCTCAACTAGGTTTTGCCGACCAATTAGTTTTCATTTCCAAAAGGAAACCGATGATTTTATTGCTGAAAACTATGAGAAGATAGAAGCTGCAATTCAGGCGTTGAAGGACACAAAAGTGGGAGACTATATTTTCATTTCCCATCAGCTAGTTCCATCCATGTTCGACGGTAAAATTTGCCCCGTATTAACAGGTACGACGTTACTCAATAAATGACAATGGTTTAACCTCTCTAGTACACAGCAAAGTTAAAACATGTCTTAGTTGAAATAAGCGTTTAACCCGTGTATTTCTGTACTTTAACTTGTTTACTTCTGCTGTATATTTTTGCAGGAACCACTGCAAGTTCTAGATGCGAGGTTTGTAATGCAGTCCCTTGTCAGATGAATGATTTAAAAGTTCTAAAAAAGTTGAAAATTAATGTTGAAACCTATAGGTTTGGCCTGTCACCCCTGCACGCTCGCATTCGGTAATCTTTCAGTTTTTCCAGACAAAAGTAATATTATATGGCTGTCTTTATACTCTGGTGTACGCTTATCTTTAAGGTGCTTGGAGTTTATCCTCAACCTAGCCTACAGGCTTGACATTCAAACATGGCGGGCATGTTCGACTGAGCATAAACAGAGCGTGGCAGAGCGAAAGAAGATGATTCAGGAAACCTATAGACAAGAAAATCGACTGCTTTTGGACTGTGTGCAGCAAGGCTTTGGCACCACTAACGATGGGAATACCTCCAGACGTTTTTTCGAGGAGGTCCAAATGGCAGCAAGGGTGACAGGAGTATGCGAAAAGTTGATAGAGCGTTCATCGCGTATATTGAAAGTTTTATCCTGTGGGCGTATCATCAGTGTCACAGCTTTTAGAAAGTACTCTTTGGATACTTAAACATACTACATAAAGAAGTATCCTTGGTTTTACATGCCTCAGGCAGTTCACAAGATCCTGTTTCATGGGGCGGACATTATCGCAGCTTCAGCACTGGCTCCAGGAAAGCTGTCAGATGAGGCACAGGAAAGTCGAAATGAAGATGTTCGGAAGTTCAGAGATGCTTTCACAAGAAAATGCAATTCGTAAGTACGAAAATGCCCCCTTTTAACCGTTTTGTATATATTAATCTTTGACTTATCTTCACAGTGTCGCAACTAATTCGGACCTACTGAAAAAACTTCTCGTGACATCAGACCATGTCATCAGCTCTTTCAGCGTACCCCGGACAAAACGTTTGTCATTAGTGAGAAAATGAAGTCTTTGTTAGTCGACCAAGAAGATAATGATGAAGATGATGATTGAGATAATAATGAAGACGACTGACAACGTTTTTTGTTATCATTTTTAAGTTTTTTTTATTTCTGTTTATGGGGCAGTTACTGTGCATATTTTATTTAAATTGAAGTTGTTCCATGAATTTGTATTTATTTTTATAGCAACAATTCAAGTATATTTTGATGAATTTATTTTATGTTAATTGATTCGTTTGTTCTAAACAAGGTATTTAATGGGAATCTACTATCTTTATATCAGGATATATGTTCCTTCGTTTTGAAGATGTAGTTCTATACGAATACACTTTACTTACGAGGCTTCTCAGTATTATTTCTCAAAACGCACTACCACCCCTCGCCTTTTCAAAAGCACTTAGTTCCGATACAACCGCATAATTTTCGCACGCTGCGTACACCAAATTTGAACCAATTGGCTTCATGTCACAGAATAGACCATTCCGGTAAACCGAAAAGAAAGGAGAAGAGTCGAAAGAAGCAAAGAGTTCTATGAGAAATGTACGGTGCGACTTGGGAACGCTTGAACGTAATCCATCGTAAACTAGATATTCTGCGTCGCCTGAGAGTGGGAACTATTGTCATTAAGTCTTAGACGAATTTAGACATCAGACAAGTCACGTTTCACCGTTTGATACGACCGTGCAACCGACGCACCACTGTATATTTTTCATGCTCGCCTTTGCTTCTTTCGTCTGTTCTTCTTTATTTTGCTTTACCGGAATGGTCTATTGCAGGGGTCGCAAACTCGAGCTATCCGCCGAGCCTCGCCTGCATAGGCCACACACATTGCGAGCTCTTCGGCAAAAAGAGTGAGAGAGATAGATGTAGTGGTGCCTCAGCGACTGACCCGTGCCCGGCCACACTGCTGTCACCGCCGGCTAGCTTCGCTGTGCGCTCGGTTGTCGGCCAGTGTGTCTGTCTTTGTCACTCCCAATGGCATCTCAATGAGTGCGACAAAGACAGACACACACACACTGGGCCAGCGAGCGAGCGGCGTGTGTCCAGCGACAGACGACGACGGCTCAGCTCCGAGCCACCCGAGCGCGGCTCTCGGCGACCTCGGGTCCACCCGAACGCAAGAGGTGCGCGGCTCTCGGCGAGCCGCGCTTGGCTCGGGAGCCGCGAGTTTGCGACCCCTGGTCTATTGGAAAGGGCATTATACCGAAGCCACACATAACGGGTCGAACCACACCCTCTTTAGGGTCCCTAGATTTTCTACAATCACTAAAACGCTGATTTTTACATATCAATCTGGCAAAATTCGAACCATTTATGAAAACCGATATCAAAGAACAGAAGATTCATGTCCCTTATTTTAGAGTTTAAAAAGATCCCGACAAATGGTTTCAGTATGTCAAATTTTGAGCCCGGAAGGCCCTGGTCCCCTGGTATATATACCCACTCCTTAACTCGTCTCGGGTGTCAGCGGCGCAGGCCTAGCTATATGTGCGCCAGGTGCGTCGCAGCGTAACAGTGATTCGTATCGCGAAGCCTATTACGCGAGACGCGGTCTGGCGTACATCTACGTAAAAACGACGTTTTAGCGATACTAGATAATCTAGGGACCCTTGAGCCTAAAGGTGAGTGTGGAACGATGTCAACTGTGTGATTTTAGTATTACTTCCTGCACAATGTTTCAATATAAGGCCTTTTTAACGACTTAATAGACCATTTAGTCGTTTTCACCTTAGTTTTGCCGAGAAATGCCTCCTAGCACCCAAACGGTACGAGATAGAGCAAAACGGGCGAAATTTTCGGCCAAAGGCGTTTACTGTTACTAGTTACCCCTTAGGAATTCATACAAATATATTCGGTAAAAAATACATTTTGCGACCTGTGGGTTTTAGATTTTATTAAACGTCAATAGACCATTCCACCCGATCGGGAAGAAGAACACAAAGACTCCCCAGACCGGAACCAGTAGTGCGCGCTCTAGCGGCCGTTGCCGTAACTCGG